AGGTAGAGATGCATGCATAGAAGTAGAAGCACTTTTTCACACAGAAGTTACCGTCCTGCTAAAATGGTCGTTAAAGTTAAAGCAAACATTCACGAAAATGAAAAAAGGGAAACCGTGAAATGAAAGAAGTTGGTTCATAGGAACATCTAAGGAAAATCACAATATTAATTAACATTAATTTAGATTTTCTTAAAATCATTCAGCCCTAGTTTTAAACATGCGTCCCTTTAAATTGTTTACTGAACTGTTGAAAAATTTCATTTTCCTGACAGTAACACCAACATCTGTTCTCATAATAACTGACAGCTTCTCTCTCCGTTCATCTGCCACATAAACAAGCAAAGTTCAATTAGAAATAACGACCAATCCTTAAAAATATATGAATTTATTCAGTAACATTAAACCTAAACGGCAATAGAATAAATGCTCAAAATAAAATCATCTCTTATGAAATTGAAAGAAAATATTTATGCCTCTTAACAAAGTTCAACGTGTTTTATTTTGTAAAACCATAATTTGCTGCAGATGATCAGATTCCACCAATATTTAAATAGCAGTTAAAGTAAAGGATTCCTCACAGCGTTACAATAAAATCATCCTTAGTAGGAAGGTTGCTCTTATATATAATTGTTTTTATGTTGGCAGGAATTAAATCTTCCAACCAAAACATCTGTTTGAACATATTTGCTGTTTTACCAAAGTAGCTTGTGAATAAATAACCACTGGATTTTCTGAGGTTTCTTCCTGTACAGCTAGTTATTCTATGTGCTAACAGATATAGATTTATGCACAGTATTTGGTTTGGTTTGTACATCATTTCACCTTCACCACAGAAGGATCTTATTTTAGCTTCATTAGATTATTGCAGCAAACTAGATTAGGAAAAGCACAGAGTTCACTTCTGCTCATGCTTACAGTTGCTGATCTCCACCAGATCAGAAATACAGAATAGAAAATGAACTGCTGTAGAAGATCCAGCTGTTTCATTGTCCTCTGCAGCCTCTTTCTCGCTTGTCC